AAAATACCGAAAATCAAACATTTTGAAGAAGAACATTGACATGCAGCTGATATAAAGGTTCAATAGGAGAGATTAAAATCACACATATTAGAATGTTCACTTCAGACTTGTAACAATCCATGACAAATTTTTCTGGAATATCTGAATAAAATAATAAATACATTTTTATATATTTTGGAAACTAGATAGGTACTTGGAATTATAAATGTTGACCACACTAATGCACCAACTAGATTTACTTTCACAGTTTCACACTGGAAAAGATACTGAAGTTAAAAATAGAAGCATTATTTCGATTACTTATCAAATGAGTTATCATACATTGTACACATACACGAAATATTATATTTTTTTTAAATCGTACACATATCATTGTAAAATCATTATATTCATCGCTCCGCTCAGAATCTAAAAATATATGCCCATTCGTTTCAAAACTAATAGTAATTGTACTTTAAGAATTCTGATTCTGTTAAATAACATTTTTCTTTTAAAAAAATTTCTGTTATAATATTTTTAAATCTTATTTTAAAACCTTACATTTTTTAACTATTTTTATTTTAGTAGGTATAGGTTTTATAGGTTATAACCTATACGAAACCCACTGAGATGAAAAATAAGCACATTATCATTGTATATATTAAATAATAAATACAAACATTTTTTTTCATATAAGTATTTCTTTAATTTTTAGTTTTTTATTCCATAATTATTTCCCCCAAATCCCCCTATATTAACAGTTGTATATGTTAGTACCTATGTTACTTCTTTAAATAAACATAATTATGTATAACACTTTAGAGTCTAAATATTTTAAATTTTTAAATAATTATCCTAAATCTAATTAAACGTGTATACAATTTACGCAAATTTTACTTTATTTTTAAAAATATTATTTAACGATATAATTTACGTATTATTATATCAAATACTTAAAACAAAAATTGAAACTATTTTGTAAATTTCTAAGATTCCTCAAAACTCGGAAGAGTGGACAATCATCAAGAAAGATTGACCAAGTACACCAGTCGTGAATGCGGCTTGATAATAAGAATATAGGCCTACCACAAAATTAATATTGCAGACTGCAAGTACGTATTCATTGTAATAACTATAACAGTATAACAAATAATACATTTAGTATTGTATAGGGAACATAATTTATTTATTTAGAACGGATTCTATTTAAATAATAATAACAATGATAATAATATATCGTCAGGACTCGGGACCGTGCCTTGCTAGAAAGAATAATTCAATTTAAAAATATAATTAATATTATATATATGATATTATAATATACAATAAGCAATGATCGATGGCCGAAACTCGGGGGAAATAATTCAAAAATAGCTAGATAAACCACAAAATAGTCAATACATGTATGGGGAATTCGTCAAAATTAAATGCGATCGTTGGCTGCTAGGAGACACTCGACTGCGGAAATGCGGTATTAATAAATATTATATTATTATGCCGCCGCCGCTGCCGCGTAGCCGTTGAGGTGGCCTTGCCTGGACAACATTCATTCCATGATATAAACAACATGGTATGATCGTAATTATTTGACGGTCAGATACCAAGGACTTTATAAATACTTTCGGTAAGCACATGACGTCATAAACCCGCAAAATTTAAATTTGTTCTAAGCAAAAAAAACAGAAGGGGATTCCTGTACCATATACTTTTACTTTGTACTTCATATTATACTCAGCGTGGGTTACCCTATCAGTGGAAATATGAGTGATGGTAGATTAAGAAAAAGCCGTATTGTATTTAATTTAAAATAATAAAGATTAAAGAATAATTAAATTAACGATATATTTCTGTTGGTAGGTAAGTATTTTTTTTTTTTTAAATAAACGTTTTGAAAATTAAATAGAAGCAAATTGCTTGATTTCACTGATTAATGATTATACTAGTATCTATTCTGGGGTATGAGTGTATGACACAATGTCATAGTTCATACTCCATAGTCCATAGACCCATTTCGGCGTCGCCGAATTGCTTTGTCTTATGCCTCGTATCCTTATATGATGAACACAAACATATGATGAATGGAAATAAATAATTTTTTTTAAAAATTAGTGAAGTCAATAACTTAATGTCGATAATGATGATGAAACTTAGGTAAAATATACAACTTTAATACATATTACAATTAATAATATTATAATAAATAACAACAAATCTTATTATATATATTTACATGTAGGATATACCTAATTCAATTTTATTATTTATTTTTAAATTTATTAAGTTTACTTTTTTATCTTTTATTGATTGTTTTTCTTGAATCATTTTGTTTAAATGATTCAATCGAATAAATGTCATTGTGCATACCATACAGTGTACTACGTCATTTGGAATTTTATAGCGATTTTTTTAATAATGCCATTACTTTTTCTGTCACTTTATCCATTATACCAGGTCCTTTATGAATATCTTTAGATCCATGGTATTCTCTAAATACTATTTCAATAAACATGCCACATTGAATCATGTCCATCGATGGCTCAAGTAAAATCCCTTCAGAGACATATTCAATTCAATTCCAGTCTAATCCATCTTTGGAAGTTTTTGATGTTTTTGCCAATTCCGGATATTTTCCAATAAATTTTCTGGCAACAGCACCTGCAACATACTGTAGATAGTCTACCTCAATCATATTTAGATTTAAGCCATCCAAATTAGTCTACAGTAAAAAATATTCATGGACAATTAAAATAATGCGATATATGTGAGTAAAAATGTATAATTAATGGAATACATTATTATATTAATTGAAATATTACATTTTTATTAATATGCAGGTATAAATATACTAACTTCAATCTCAAAATGTTCTAACAGTTCAATACAATCAGATGGAATTTTTAAATCTTCAAAATCATCACCTTCCTGAACCACTTCAATATTTAAATCCGCTTCTTTAAATATCTCATTTGTTAAACAGTCTACTAAACACTCTTCTGATGAGTCTTGTGTATTTCGATTCTCAGTGAATACAACATTGGTAATTTATCCAAGCAAATACCAACGTAGGCTGAAACAATGTTAATGTAAGTATAAAAATAATTATTAATAACTATTACAATTTTAAAACGTAAAAATTTAACAATTATAAATATAAAGGTACACATACAGAAATATCAGCTAAAAGTTACCATACTTATATTTGAATTCAAGAGGAGTTAAATGATAATTTCCTCTTGACATTCCTTTCACAAAACTGAAAAAGTTTTCCAGAACATCTTGATTCAGTCTACGAGTTATAATGTACTGTATATCCTTATAATTTGTTTTTAAATCATTCAAAAGATTTTTGAGAGATTTATTTGTACGGAGTATAACTGCAATACAATTTAATAGGTAGGTATTTCATATGTATTTGTATAATTTTCGTTTATATTATAAAATATATTATATTTAAAGAGGTAAAAGAAAAAATATATTTTTATTGTCAACCTTTTTGGAATGGTAATAATGTTCTATGTTTATGAACACGCATTTTTGAAATGAATTCATCCATATCCAGAGTTGTGCTTAGATAAAAAAAAATTATCTAGATATAGATAAGATATCTGAATTTAAAATTATCTAGATATAGATAGATAAAATAATTTTTATCTAGATATAGATCGATAAAATAATTTTTATCTAGATATAGATAGATAAAATAATTTTTATCTAGATATAGATAGATAAAATCATTTTTATCTAGGTATTTTAATAAGGTATTACCTCAAAATTTAAATTTATAATAATAACTAGCCATCACCCCCGTGGATAGTTGTTTGCAAATTGTGGGGATGTTTCGTGGCTCCAAAAATCCTGTCTATTTATCTTACAACGTTTTTTTTTTTTTATATCAAGAGTAATCGAACTGTATGCAGAGTAGTGTAAAACTGTTAAAAACTTATCTTAACTTTTCCGTAACCCGTAAATAAATTCTGATTGTTTCTTTTGGGTTATATTATAATTCATAGCCATCTCGACTGGCGTTATCCCGTGAGATTCGCTGCAGTATATTTTCAGGTAGGCAATCTACCTGTGGTAGATCGCGAACACCGTGCTGTTAGTACCTGTGGAAGACATTAGCACCAAGTTGGTATCGTACGAAAGCGCAAAAATCCTAGATACCTATATGCCACACTTAATAGATATTACATTTAGAACTATATATTTTATTTTAACAATTTATTATTGACAATCTATAATATAAAAGCAAATCCAGATTTTGTGTCATTTCCTCCTCAAAATTCTTCAAAATTAACAACTAAAACTACAACAATCATAACCAATAGCAACCTTCCAATAAACAAAAATATATTTTTATTTAGCATATTTTTTTCCTATAAAGATGGCACTACTGTTGTATTTTTGACATCCAGATTTCCTAATTTTCCTAAAATTATCTTTCATAAGAACCTTATCCTAACAAGTAACAATTACGAACATAACAAAAAAAGAATCAGCCAAATTGGTCAAGCCATTTCGGAGCCAACCCGGGACACAAAATCTAGACTTGCTATTATAGTATAGATTGAAAATTAAAATAAATTTGTATTTTTATTACAATATTTACATAATTAGACAATATTCTAAGCATGCTAAAGATAAGTTGATAACATAATATTATCCCAAACATAAAAAAGTTATCTTGTGATACGCAACTGTATTTAATGAAGTCTTTATTTTCACTCCCATCAAACATAAAATTGCATATATACTCGACGCACGTTAAGATCATGACCGGGCGGCGGACCGTTTAGCGTCCGTTACGCGCAGCCGATTTTTCATTGGTTCCCCAAACATCCGTTGACAGTTATACAGCGCTGTTTCAAATGTGAACCGCATACACCGTGTCGTAGTGGATAGCCTGTTTATTACTGTTCTGAACAGTGTACGCGCTTGCATGATTTTGCTCCGTATGCTCCCATTTGATTTTTTTCTATACGCGCTTTAATTGTTCTCTGTACGTCAATTTCTCGTGAAATATGTCTGATGAGGAGGCTGCAACATTTATTTCCCCACGGAAGAAGAATCCTCACGGCAAAGTAAGTTGAAACAATTTTATAGTAATATTTTTTATTTAACAGTGAAAATCACGATAAGATTTATATCAAAATGTTGTAGACTAAAAATATTTAAACCGAAATGTATTTTTTATTACAAAATATTTTTTCTTTACGGTTTGAACAAAATATATTGGATTAATATATTTTTTGGTGAAAATATTGTTTTCAATTTTTTTAAAATTGATAATTTAAAAATATATTTAAAACAATTATCAATACCATTAACTAACAAAATGTTTATCTGTATCATTTCAATAATAGTTAATATTTTTATATTTTCAGCCTGTTGGCAGCTCACAGAAAATGATGATAATTAATTGTTATAAGCAATTAAAATCAGAAAACGACCAAATTAAATATCGCGATTTGATGAAACGTATTTCTGATACACTTGGTATTGGATTGAATAAGGTGCAAACAACAGTATCCGAGTACAACCAAATTAAGACCTTGACTTCACCCAACAGAAAAAGAAACAGACCTCGTGTTGTGGATAAAATAGATGATTTTGACAAGAACGCTATCCGGAGAAAAGTACATTCATTTTGGCATAATAAAGAGCTACCGACACTTGCGAAGGTATTAACCGCTATAAACGAAGACAATACATTGCCAAATATGAAGGAAACCTCTTTACGGAAAGCTTTGAAGAGCTTGAATTTCAAATTTACAAAACGCCAGAGAAATAGTATTTTAACAGAGAGAAGAAAATATTTAATTTCAATTCGTCGTTTTCGTGAAGAAGGTAGACCTATATATTACCTCGATGAAACTTGGCTCAACACCGGTGATTGTGTGAGTAAGGTGTGGGTTGACACAACCGTTACTTCCAGTAGAATGGCATTCCCGGAAGGTCTATCTACAGGCCCCCAAAACCCAAGTGGCAAAGGTACCAGGTTAATTGTTGTACACATTGGGTCTGCAGCTGGTTTCGTGTCAGGTGGTCTATTGTGTTTCCAGTCAAAAAAAAATTCATCAGATTACCATGATGAAATGACTGGTCAAACATTTCAAGAATGGTTTGAGGAAATATTGCCTCTTTTAGAAGACAATGCCGTGATTGTGTTGGATAATGCACCATATCACTCCGTGAAAAAAGAAAAAACTCCTACGACGAATTGAAAAAAGGCAGAAATGGTAGAATGGCTGGTGTCTAAAGGTGAAGAAATCGACCCCTCACAACTTACCAAAAATGATCTCCTAGACATCGTCCAACGTTTAAAACCAAGGTTAGTATTAAAATATAAACTATTCATACTATACACTATTAATATATTTTTTTTAGATACAGTGCATACATAATTGACGAGATAGCCAAAGATGCCGGAAAGACGGTTTTGAGACTGCCCCCTTACCATTGTGAGCTAAATCCCATCGAATTGGTATGGTCAATGGTGAAGTCATATGTCAAGTCAAACAACACTACATACAAGACTATCGACGTCAAACATCTGCTTCACCAAGCCATTGACAGGGTAAAACCAGAAGATTGGCAGTCTTTCATAAGACACGTGAAGGACGAGGAACAGAAATTTTGGGATGTTGACTTCATTTGCGACGAGATGATAGATGAACTCCAGCCCGATCCGCGTCATATTTTAACAATTGGTGAATCGACAGACTCGTCTGATGACGAATGTACCTAATTATTTGTAAATTTGTATAATACTTTTAAAATATTTTTTATTTTATTCATTGTATACATGTTTAAATATTCATTATTCATAGTAATTATTTCAAATGTATGTTATAATGTGATACAATTAACGTGTATATTATTTAAAATAAATACTTTGATATAACCATATAATATTGTTTTAAAAGATTTTCTTTTATATTAAAATATGTTATTAATTTTTAGACTCTAAAGAAAGTGAAGGATCTATTGGTTTTTTCTAAAAATAAAAAAATTTAATTTGAATAATAAGTATATAAAATAATTATACAACGTGGTAGGGAGATAGAGTTGTATTGCTTCCGCGACGAGTGTCTCGCAACGCCGCACCGTCATACAATCGATTATACAGTGTGATGGAGTGAGTTCTATTGTTTTATAAACAAGTGCACGTCTCTGTTGTAATGGGATTACGCAATTCATGTACAACGCTCACAATAACAAGTACTACTTATGTAGAAAGCGGCCTCGTCGACCACACCCAAAAGTGGTCATAGCTAGAATAAACGCTTCGAACAACAACAACTTCCCAAGGGCGCCTACATGCCACGCGCCGCTCAATTCAAAGGGCGTCGCCTTCGTATATTCGTATATATAGAGGCTAGGGCCTCAATACAAATTAGATGTATCCAGAGACGAGAACAACACACGACTCGCTTAGCCGCCCAGCCATCACACACAACTTACACGGAGATTATCAACTTCGGAACGAGCCACAATTCGCTACAATCAACACTATTATTCTGCTTGTTTTGTCTGGTTTAATATAATACATTTGATTATCATACTAATTGACTATTATTATTTATCAAAGTACACCAGCTTTTGGATCCCTGAAGGGCCGCATGTAACACTGGCGCAGTCGAACGTAGGATTCCACAAAGGGAGGCAACCATCAAAGGCTACTGTCAACAACGAAGAATTGATCACTCTTCAGCGAAGACAACTCCAGGAGGAACCAACAAAAACAAATAAGTCACATCGCAGTACCAACAAATCCATTAGCAGCATCATCAACGGCAACATGTCATCATCAGCCATGAACGCAGCATTATTGTGAGTGAATAGTTATTTAAATTTGTTACATAGACGTATGCAACATAATTAAGACATATTAAGATAAATCTAGGTAGTTGATTATAAGTGTAATGGTGTAAACCGTTTTAAATTTTATTGAGGGCATATTTTATTGATTATTATTGAAGTTTATTGAATTATTGAGGGCATATTGATTATTTGAAGTTTTATTATTGAGGGCATGTTTTTATTGAAGTTATTATTGATTATTATTTATTGAGTGCATTTTTATTATTGAAGTATTATTGAAGTTTAATGATTTTATTAGAGGGCATATTATTGAAGTTATTATTGTATTTATAGGGCATTATTGAATTTTATTGAGTATTATTATGATTATTAACGTATTAAATAGGCGGTTAAGTTAATTTATGGACAAAGAAGATACATCTCCCTTGAACGTAGCTAATTCATTGTATGACACTAGTGTAGTAGAAGAAGCCCAGTTAGAAGCCCAGTTATTAGCCCAGAGAGAAGCCCAAGCCCAGTTTGAAGCCCAACAGAAAGCCCAGTTAAATACTATAGTAGATACCAAGTTAGTAGGTAGCACAAGTAAAACCCCAAGTCCACAATTAGGAGTAGTCACACGTAGCAAAGTCACAGATAGTTTTGAACATCAGTCGTTAGATTTTATATCTAAATCACGCAATAAAAAAATGGCAGTAACCATAAAATTAGAAGACGCTTTTAAATTAATTCCAGTATGCACAGAGATAGACGATATTTACCAATTCATAAATGCATGTGATATGGCAGTAGGTTTAGTCGACGCAACTAGCGCACCAATATTAGTAAAATATATTACTACACGATTAACGGGTAGAGCATTAGAAATGATTAAATATAAAAACGTAACAAAATGGCAATTTATAAAAGCGTATTTAACAGACGCATTCGAAGTAACAACCAATGCATCGACGTTACAACTTCAATTAAAATCGATTAGAATGAATCACAATGAGGATGTGAACGATTATTGCCATAGAGTAGAAAAACTATATTATCAGTTATGTACCGTAAGCACATTAAACAAAGAAGCTGCAGAAGCAAAAATTATACATGAAACATTAAGGGACCAAACTCTAGCAGTATTTATTAAAGGATTAGTAGAACCAATTGGAACGATACTAAAATCTCGTAATGCTAAAACTCTTGAAATCGCGAAACAAATCGCTATGTCAGAACAGGTAGAACTAAGATTAGAACAAGAAAATAGGAATCATTATTCGATTAGTTATTCACAAAACAATAATCAACGTAGATCAAATTATGAAAATAGGAATAACAGGAACGTTAGACCAAGTAACTTTGTAAGGCCGAATAATTTTGCACGAAATAATTATCCGCGAGCGAACAACTTTTCTCAACCGATTAGGCCACCAATAAGGTGTTATAATTGCAATGGAAATCATTTTGCATCACAATGTAGAAATAATTCGAGACCTAATTACGCGAGCAACGGCAATAACAATCGTCCACCTAATAGAAATAATTTTACGCAACCGCCAACAAATTATAATACGCAAACAGTTATGTGTTCATATTGCAATAAAAACGGTCATAATGTAGATTCATGTTATAAAAAGAGAAACGACGAAAGTAGAAATAATTCGGGAAACGCCAACGTGTCGAACGAGTTACGCGGTACTCGCACGATAAACCAGATTATCGCGGAACAGCCAACTCACGAATATTCCACATATTCGCAACAATAGAAAATAATCATATAATATTCAAATCTATCGCCGCAAAAACAAATCAATTACACTTAATGATAGATACAGGTAGTCAGGTAAACATTCTTAAAATAAATTGCTTACGCGAAGAATTAGAAGTAGACGAAACACAAAAAATAAATCTGCGCGGTATAAACGAATGTCTCACAGAAACCATAGGGAAAATATCAATATTAATCGAATTAAATGGCGAAAATATTAAAACAGAATTTCATATCGTGAGTGCGCAATTCCCAATACCCAAGGACGGAATATTAGGAAACGAGTTCTTGTCGAAAAATAACGCAATAGTCGATGTAGCGAACAACAAATTAATTATTCAAACGACCTCGCATACACTAACAAATTTCAAAGAGGCTGACAAAACCAGTTTTATTAAATTAAATCCGCGGACTGAAACTATTGTAGGAATACAGATAGCTGACCCACTAATAGAACAAGGAAATATTTATACATAAACAAGAATTAGTAAAAGACGTATATTGCAGTAGTACAGTGTCTATCGTTAATAATGGTAAGGCAATAGTTAGCATGTAAAATATATCAGAGGAAACGAAAAGCATATCTGAAATCGACCTAAATAAAATACTCTATGATACCGAATACGAAATATATAATGTAGAATCGACGAATGATCACAATGAGCGAATAGCACGTTTGAAACAAATAATAATAACTGACCACATGGATGAAATAGAAAAACAATCTATTTATGAGATATGTGAACGATATAATAGCATATTTCATTTAGAAGGGGATGTTCTAACATGATGGAAAAATTTGATGGAAAAAGATTCACGAGAGTTAACGGCCTTTTCGACTAACCAAGGTCACTGGCATTTCAAACGAATGATACAGGGAATGAAGACAAGTCCCGGAACTTTCCAAAGAGTTATGAATTCAGCTCTGGCAGGTTTAATAGGAATAAAATGCTTAGTATACTTAGACGATATAATAGTATATGGGAAAAATTTATATGATCATAACGAAAAATTAATAGAAGTTTTTGAGCGTTTACGAATAAGCAACTTAAAATTACAACCAGATAAATGCAACTTCTTAAAAAGAGAATGTGTATATCTAGGACACGTTATTACGAAAGACGGAATAAAACCCGACGAACGTAAATTAAAAGCAGTAGTAGAATTTCCAATACCAACAACTGTAAAAAACATTAAATCATTTTTAGGATAAAGTGGTTATTATAGGAAATTCATAAATTCATATAGCGCAATAGCAAAACCACTAACCAATTTATTAAAGAAAGACACGAGTTTCGTATGGAGTAACGAATGTCAAAAGTCATTCGATACCTTGAAGGCAGCGTTATGCTCAGAACCAGTTTTAAAATATCCGGATTTCACAAAGACCTTCTTATTAACTACAGACGCGAGTAATAAAGCACTCGGGGCTATTTTATCTCAAGGAGAAATAGGTAAAGATTTGCCAATAAGTTATGCGTCGCGCACATTAAATAAAAGCGAAAGCAACTATTCAACAACAGAATTAGAATGTCTTGCAATAATATTCGGAGTTAAACAGTTTCGACCATATTTATACGGTAGGAAGTTTATAATACTTAGTGACCATCGTCCATTAACGTGGCTCTTTAATTTAAAAAATCCATTATCAAAGTTAGCTAGATGGAGAATACAATTAGAGGAGTACGATTACGAAATACGTTACAAACCCGGAGTTTTAAATTCAAATGTAGATGCACTCACACGCATGTACTCTATACAGGAAATAAAAAACGAATCATATGAAAATTTTCTCGAAAAATTAGAAACACAAATTATCACAAATAGTAATGTAAAAGAAACTATAGGCACAGTAATAGATTCACCAAAAGAATATAATATAGTGTCAGAAATTGCCAAGCAATATAATTTCAGAACAGGAACAAATTATCAGTTAAAAAAACAATTTGGAAACGGTATAATATTGCCGACTAGTAAAGTAATAGGGGACACACCATATTTTAAACATGAAAACCGGTTTATAATATTCTTAGTAACGAAAAACAAGGACCGACAAAGGGCCACTTACGAAACTATATATATATCGTTAATAAATTTAAAATTATTTTGTAAGGAGAACAATTTGAATAAATTAGCCATGGGCAAGTTAGGCGATCACGATGATTTAGAATGGGAAA